TCACATAAATGTATACCTTTAACTGTTCTTACTCCTTATAAAAAATAAAATTGCTCTTGATTTTTTTTTCCCTTCTACATAGTAATTTTTATATGGTAGGACCCCTTAGCTTATAAGATAAAGAGGAGAATTTAGCAAGTTTTTTATATTGCGCATGCACACATACGCATTTGCGTGTGTTTCTTACCTTGTGAGTGTTAGTAGAAAGTGTATGGAGACTAGTACCAAAACTATACCTTCACAACCATTAGATCCATTGCTTCAAAGAGAAAGTATTTGCCTAACAAAACTCCACATGAGAATTTCCCTAATTTTTTCAAAATAATTCCTTTTTTTTTCTCCTTGTAAAATTTTAAGGTTTTTTTTAGAAAATAAGATATATATATATATATATATATATATATATATATATATATATATATATATATATATATATATATATATATATAACACCACCAAAAAACAAAAAGGTAAAAAAAAAGAAAATTAACAAAAAAAAAAAAAATAACCCAACTTTAACTTTAGCCACCCCATCCCCACAATCGGTTAACCCCCTTCCTCGCCAAAAATTCATTTTTCCGATTCCGACACACCCACATCCATCGAAATTGGAAAATATAAATCGATTTAGGGTCGAATTTAACCACCCACACCCTAAACCATCCGATTTCAAACGTTAGTGGAGTTTAGGTGGTGGTTAGGGTTTTGCGAGCTATGGAATTTAATGTTGAGTTCGAAACGCCAGGGCTCGAATTGGTCGGGGCTGATTGTGGAGGCTGGTGCATGGTCAAACTCGATGGGTCGAAGGGGCTAGGTGCAAATTGGTTTTGTGGAGTGGCGGAAGTGGTTGCGTAAGCTGGTTTTGGTGGTGCTGATTTTATTGGAACTATATTTGATTTTGAGGATGAGAAAAGAAAATTTAGGGTGATTTTGGGGGTGGGAAAAGGAATGTTGGTGGTTTCGGGAGTTGGAAAATGTATTTAGGGTGGTTTCGGTTCATAATTAACTCTAATGATTGATAAAATTAACAATCACTAGTCATCATGAGTATATGGTGTATTTTTGTGAAAACTCGGGAGTATATGATGAATTTAAAAAAGTTTAGGGGCATATGGTGATTAAACAAAAAAACTTACGGGCATATAATAATTAAACAAAAAACTTACGGGCATATGGTGAAAAACCCGTCGTATAAATTAAAACTAAAAATTCTTAATATAAACAATATAAATGAAAGAGTCAAAGGCCCACAATTAGGCATGAATTGAAGCACCGGAACATAAATGATTGTCAAAAGACTTGTGGAGTGTATTAAATAAATTTATTTTTCGGCCTGCCGTCCGTTAAAAAACCTCGGAGTTTCGTTGTTAATTATTTTTTGACAAGAATCCGCAGACTTGGAAGGAGACTCGTACTTTTTTGCCTTGACTTGAATTTGTCAATAAAATACGGAGTACAATATACTCATAATTGTTAGTGGCTATATTATTACTCCCTCCGTTTTTGAATACTTGTTCCATTTTTTTTTTCCGGTCGTTTTTAAATACTTGCTCCATTTTCTTATTTGGAAAACTTTTATAATATTTAATTCATTTCTCTCACGTAGTGAACTCAACATAAATAATATTTTATTATTTTCATATTCTCTCTCCTCCAATTCTCTCTACTACTTTTGCTTTTTACAAAATTTTTTTTTTTCACTTATCCTACTACCTCCATATTTTATTACTTTATCCAATTTATCCTAAAACTCTTGTGCATGGAAAAATGAAGCAAATATTTAAAAACGGAAGGATTATTATTATTATTATTATTATTATTATTATTATTATTATTATTATTATTATTAATACATCATCATTAAAACTTATAAATTCAATCAATTTACAAGAAATTGGTAGGGAGCCGAGGTACAATCTGGGCCCCACCCCTCTAGCTATAGCGAACCCGATCCTACTGAAAATGTTAGCAGCTGCACGAGCACCAATATCCTGCGTCTTAGCGAACGCCTGAACCCGTTTCAGCAACGTAATAGCATCCTTATCTAATTCCCCTAACGAAGAAAAGGAGAAAGGAAGAAAACCATAGCCAATAGCCCTGCAACGTGCCCCATATTTGTCCCGTTTCCGCTGAGTTGCCGCCGACACAACATGACCAGGAACGAAGTTAGACAACCCCGATTATGTCAAAGGTGAAGACCCCGTCAAGTCGACACATACATCACGACCTCTATCCCAGGAATAAAGTAACACATCTGCTGGTTGAGTGCCCCGTCGTTCCCACCAGTTAACCCAACGTTAACCTCCTTTCGAGCAGAAATCCCAAACCGAAAACAAATATCAACAAGGGTGTCACGAACAACGTTGTGCCGATACTTAATACCTACCATCCCAGCACAAGACACTGCATGATCCCTATAAATATCTCCATCAAAAACCCTTGAGCAAGTAGAACACGGAGTTGAAACGGAGAACAAAGGAACACCCAACCGATAGCAAAGAACACTACGATAAGTCTTACCATTCTTCTTCTTCTTCTTCTTCTTCTTCTTCTTCTTCTTCTTCTTCTTCTTCTTCTTCTTATTATTATTATTATTATTATTATTATTATTATTATTATTATTATTATTATTATTATTATTATTATTATTATTATTATTATTATTATGTAAGTCCATGCGAGTACGGTAAATTATTTTTATTTAATTTAAAATTTTGTATATTTAAGGAGATCATTCATTAGATATATGGATAAAACTTCTATTATTATAATATATTTTTTTTAAAAAAAATTTAACAGTATTGTTGTTTTATTTATTTTACGTGACGCTTGAATTTAAAATCCTAAACCTTATTTATTAATTTTCTTATGTGACAATTTAAATTTTTAATTAAAAAAATAATGATAAATCTCGTTTTTTTTATTGATTAAAATAAGTCTTTTGCCTATGTGTTTTGTTTAAAATGTTAGTCTTATTTATAGGGTGTGTTCTATTCACCTGATTTTTACTTATCTGAGCTTATCTGACCTTATCTAAACTTATCAACCCTTATCTGAACTTATCTGAACTTATTACACCTCATTAACACTTATTTTCACTTATTTGACCTTGTTAAACCTTATTAACACTTAGAAGATTTTATTATACATTATTTGTCATTCTTGAAACATACTGTGTAACATATTGGTAATATGAGTATATATATAACAATATATTAAAATAAAAGCAATAAAATATGAAAATATTAGCATTTTGATAATTTCAAATATTAAAAAAAATAAACACTGAAACAAGCAAAAGTGTATGTTGCAATAACACCAAATAAAATTTTAATCTTATAATGCTTCATCATCATCATTCTCATCATCTCCTTCTTCTGTATCATCCTCTACGACACCTCCAACCGACTTCGATATATCTTTTGTTATTTTATCCCGAATACGGTTCATAGCTTTTTTCCTTTGGATATCATACAAATTATAATCTGCTCTAGTCTCCATTTCTTCAACCTCTTGAAATATTGGTATCCCTAATTCGTATAGACTGATATCATTGTGTAGCGTAAATGTTCGTTGCAACAATGATAGACAATTGAAATGCTTCATCCATCGGTGGCATCATCTTTAAGATTTTCCATTTTTTCTTTAATACGCCGAAACATCTTTCAATTGTTGAACGTAAAGAGGAATGTCGATAATTATAATGCTCTAAGTTTCCAATAGGTGGACCCCTTTCTTCAAAATCTGGCAAATGATACCTCAAATCTTTGCCATATGCGGGCTTAGATATCCAAGAGTATTTGGATATGCTGAGTCAACTAAAAAGTATTTTCCTATTCATTCAGAATAAAATATTAGTATACACTAAAAATAAGGTAGCATATTTATCTAAGTAACAACAAATTTAAACTTTAAATAATACCTGAAGGTGGACGGGGGAATTTCTTGGTTACATCACCTAAAAAATGTGTCCAAACTGTCGTGTCATGTGCACTTCCTTCGAAGCCCACATTAAGAAAAGTAAATAACATGTTAAAAGAACACGCGGCCATGACATTCCATGTTTTGTTTCCTTTACGTCCTCTATATGGCTTACCACCAACATCATCAACAACTGCTTCTATATGGGTACCATCTAAAGCTCCGACACAATTCTAAGAATGATTTTTGTAAAAATAATATTAGAATGAAAAAATGTAGCATGTTAGGATAAACATTTTTACTAACTAAATACATTAGAATTGTTACCTTGAAAAATGGCCTATATAATGAATTGTTTTTAATTTCGGTGATTCATTGAAACTCTGATATGGTCGAATAATATCACAAGATAATGAAACCAAAGCTTTCAACACTACTCTGAAGTAGATAGAAATGGTTGATATCGAACGTTGAAATCTCTCCGCAGCATCACGATATGAATTAGCTTTAGCCATCATGAATAGACATGTGCCGACTTGCTCTTCCACGTGTATAAATCGACCATCAGATAAAAGTTCTTTCCCTCTTAATACATCAACAAGCTTTATGAAGATATCTTTATCAACCCTTAGTTGCTCTTTGCACAAATTAGGATGTCCAGTCAATAACCTATGTATTCACTCACTTCCAGGTTCACCCCCTACATGTAGAGGCATTCGTTCTATTTGAGTAAGTTATCTCTTCAACTCGTGCAAGGCAATATACATCATACAATTTTTGTGCAATGTTTCGTCCATTCTACAAATCAAAATAAAAGTTAATTTCTCAAAAAAAAAAAAATCAACAAATACGTAATTAATAATATGTGACTCTTCTTACTTGTCATTGAAACATAATAAAATAAAGTTTCACATATCACAATAAAAACACACTAGTTACCAAAATTTAACTTATTTTATATTGGAAAAATGAAACTTACACACCCAAACTTTAAAATAACAAGTGCTAAGCATCTTAGACGACTTATGATAGTTTAATAATCATCATCCAAGTTATCATTAAAGCTAGGCCTATAGCAATCATTTGGGAATGAGATTTTTGTCTTCAAAATACAAGATTCTAAACTCATTATCCGGAAGAGACAAAAATAAATCACTTTCATCTGGATCACGTAAGAACTCCAACACTTGAAGAATGAAAGACTTTCCGTAGTTGCTAACTGCCAGCATTCCTTCCAATATTGAAATCATTTTTTCATATTTTGATGGAGATGGTCTAGGTTGTGTCTTAGAGGAACCAAGTTGCATGTTTCTTCTTAAATAATCCATGCAAGTTTCAATGTCATCCTTCACACTCTTTCTAGAGGTAGCACCGCAATCCGAACTCTTACGTTTGCTAGAAGATATGCTCTTGAGAGGGGACCTGCTTTCGTAAGCTGACCTTTCAGTATCTTCCATATCATCATCTTTGGTTCTAAGTTCTTCTTCAGAATCCCCAACTCCTTCCTTAAAATCATCTTGAACAAGAATCATGGGTTGTTTGTGTTTGGTTTGTATGGTCGGTCCTCCAACGGCGGGAGACCAAGATTTGTTACTTGTTGCATACGTCCCAACAAATATATCATACAACTTATCCTCAAATATCAAGGGTTTCTTTAGAAAGCTTGAAGAGTTCTTATGTTTCTATAAGGCAATACAATAGAAAAAAAATTATTGATATTATTCCAAGTAATAATAACAAAAATATAAGTACAAAAAGCAAAATTCATAACCTAAATACCTTTATAAATGCCTTCCACTTCTCATCTTTTGGATCAATCACAGGGCAACCCGTTTCCTCATTCCAACCAATTCCTATCCAACTTTTAAGTTCGTTCCAAGCTTTAAATTTTCCTCTAATGTCACTATAAAAGTTTTCCAATTGTTTCTTTTCAAACTCTTTCCCTGTTTCCGCATTCAAACGTAATATAATTGTGTCCCAATTATACTTACCACCTCTTGACTTTTTGTTTTCTTTTATTAAATCCAAAAATATCTCAATATCCTCATTGTTCCATGATGTCCTTTCCTTAGAAGCCATTGTAGTTTTGCTAATAAATAAAATTTTCAAAGCATTATTAACTATATGAAGTCAATAAGATACTAATATGGGTGATGTTGGGACTTACAAATATAGGTGCTAAGATAAAAAAATGCACAAAACAACAAACACTCTAAAGCTATAGTTTAAAAACCAAGGTACACGTACTACTCAATTCCGAAATTCGTATAAGTTAGCAAATCATGTCCTTGTATATGAAATAAAATATTGTCAACATAATGTAAGATAGTATAACATATTTCAAACTTAGTAGCTAATATAGACTTACGTATGTAGCTTGGTTGTCGATCAAGTATACTTTTTATTGAAACTACCTCCGCAAAACCTGAATAATATAGTATGAAAATAGTGTATTAGTATCAAAATAATGAAGTTATCTACAATGCTCATAAACAAGCTCTAGTACCTTCTTGGTGTTTTTGAAGATACACCTAATTAGTTGTTGAATAAGAAAAAGCATGTGCGTGCATATATATATATATTAGTAATAGTAACTAAACGCATGCATGAAGAAACTAAAACCACTATTTTATAGCTTAAAAATAGTGTGTGCTTGACTTTTAACAACGTGCAATTAATCACTATTCTATAGCTTAGGAATAGTAAAAACTTAACGGTTAACAACACTACTATTTTATAGTTTAGAAATAGTAAAAATTCTCCTTTGGTTTTGTTGTTGATCTGACTTTCATTCTCATTAATTTCCCTTTGTTTTTTTCACAAAAATAATAAACTTGTTGATTTGCTTAACTTTTATATAAGCAAAATTTATCTAGTCTTACCATAACTTATGAGTATAACGTTACTTTAATTTTATTTTTTATGCAAATGTTACTTTATTCTTATATGAAATCATGATAATAAAACACATAAAATTTTACAAAAAAAAAAAAAAAGTGAAAAGCAATCTTGATTAGTAATAACTCTATATAAATATAATAAGTGGAAATAAGGTGAGGAGAACGTTAATTTAGAACTTATTAACCCTGAACTTATCTAAACTTATTAACCCTTATCTGAACTTATCTGAACTTAACTGAACTTATCTGAACTTATTAAACCTGAAATAAGTGAAAATAAGGTGAACAGAACAGACCCATAATCTTTTAACTATTATCAATTATGGGGAATTAGTCATATGAGATTTGGTTTTATTTGTCTCGATGAGTACATTATTATATAAAATCAAACTTTTGTAATATTTGCTAGGGAGAGATTAAAGATATTTGTGATAAAAAATTTGCATCCATATATGTAAAAAAGATAATTATTGCTTTTTTTTTTTTGAGAGAAAACAATTATTAGTTTTTTTTAAATAATTTAAATTTTAATTAATCTATATTCGTTGTTTTTTTTACCTGTGTGTCAAAATTCTTAAATCTTATTCGTTACTTTTGCTTAGGTGGCGAGTAAAATTTTTAATTCTAAAATAAATTATTAATCTAATTTTTTATTGGACAAAATAATACTCTCTTATGTGGTGCGTCGAATACTCCCGAAAAATTCCTACTTTATTCATATATATATTAGATTATTATTATTATTTTGTATATTTATAGAGAAAATATAAGTTCATTTTATTTATCAATCAAGTGCCAACACTAGAACTAAATTTATAATTTTTTTTTATCAACTATGGGTCATAATAGTTGATATAATTACGAAAATGTCAAAACTAACTTAATTTTGTTAATTAATCATGATTTACCACTTAATAAATGAATTTTATTAATCAAGGTGGTAAATTAGGTCCCTCGTATTAATATATTAACATAAATATAAAGTTTAAGGGTCTGTTCACTTCAGTTTAATTTTATTTTAGTTCAGTTTAGTTCAATTCATCTCAGCTCCTAATTTTCTTCTCTCATAAAATATTCATTTAAGGTCGAATCAGTTCATTTCAGTAAATATGAGCATATCCTAAGATTTAAATATTGACCTAAATACCATAAGGTAAATAATTAGGGAGTGAGGTAATATAACTAATAAGAATACGACAAAAATAGTCAAACTTTCAAATAATCCTACTACTCTCTCCATCATCGGTCAAACTCTAAAAACTTTGTTTATGTGTCTAGTTGTATCCATTAAAATTTAAACTTAATTTTATCCCTAAGTCAATACATATATCTAATTTTGTTAATTTGTGTCGTATCTTCTCCAACTTAATTTCTTTTTTACGAAATCAATTCATACTAATACATTAAAAGGCGTTTATAAAAACATTTATGCGTCACGTAGACTCTTTCAAATTATGCCACGTCACTTAACTAACATTTCATGATGCCACGTCACAAGCACTTGATGGCGTCACATCACCTATCCAACATCTCAACATGCCACATCATCACTAAATATAAAAAATATGAAGATAAGAAGATTCGAACTCCAAACCACTTACAACAAAATTGAATATTTAGCCATCTAAGCTGATTATCAAATATGTTATAAAGATGTAAAAGAAATATGTATATACCACATGGTTTAATTATTTTAAAAAAACACATATTCATTCAAAGAAAATTAAATCATAAATTACAACGTATATTAATGATAACTTAGTTTCATGTAATAATCTGGGGTATCGCCCGTGCCAAAAACTAGTTATTGTTTTAAAACAAGTTTATATATCACGTGACACTCACTCAATTAATACTTCTATAAGAATTTGTTCCCTTCGTTCCATTATAATTGACACATAATTGACTTATTAGTATTGTTTTTTTCTAACTTTGACTATCAATAACATTAACCGTTTATTCATAAATAATAAAAACTTGATATTCCAATAATATACATTAAAATAAATCCAACAACACATTTTTTTTTAAGAGTATTAACATTTTATTTAATACTGTATAATAGAAAAAAAGATGGTAAGAATTATGATTAAATTAATAAATGTTAATCGTCCCAATTATTATGAATTGAAGGGAATAGTTGATGTAAGTGACAAAGTTACAAGCAATCTTAATTATATATGTCATATAAAACAAAAACAATAGCATATTGGTGCCTTGTTAATTGGAAACTTTTTAATACCGAATAGGCCGAAGTACAAGTTAAACAAATGGATCATTTCATCCCGTATAGGCCGATGAACAAGTTGTGCACTGCCGTAGAAATGAGTGTTATTATTTGGTTTTTGTGTCAAAACTCAAAAGACCAATATACTATTGAAACTTAAAATTCCAGCTTATATTGAGAGATTATGACTTGGGAAAGCTATGTGTTATCATTTAATCAATGATGGGAATTTTTGAAGTAGCCGTTGTGCTAAAGCTACTCTTCCATCCCGAGTACAACATGATCACTGTCATAAAGGTGCCGTTGATACTCGAATATTACCTCGGCTTTTTTTTTTTTTTTTTTTTTTTTTTTTTTTTTTTTTTTTATGTACACATTTAGATTTTGACCATTTGTTTTAACGACTTAGAAAACAAAGCCTAAGTGTGTATATTTTTCCAAACAATACACAGAATTTTTAAATGGGTAATACATTAAGTGCATGTTCTGAGTTATTGAATTAAGTTGAGCTGAAGTGAACTGAACTAATTGGAGCTGAACTGAATTGAATAGAGCTAAAATAAATATTTTATGAGAGAAGTAAATTAGGAACTGAATTGAATTTGACTGAACTAAACTGAACTGAACTGATTGAAGCTGAACTGAACAAAGTCGAGTTAAACTGATATTAAGCTGAAGAGAACATGCCCTAAATACATCCTTGAAAATTGTATAAAATTAGGAATTCGTGACAAAAACACGTGTAAATCAGTATAGTTAGTGTTTACATTTTTATATATTTATAGGATATTCTAGTGTGTAGCTTATGTGTAGCCTTAAGGGCTATGTATAACATTTTCTCTTTTTAAATAAGAAAACTTTTTTCTTGAGATTATTTATTTCGTTGTATTATGAAGTACGGGTGAAAGTTTGGTTTACGATTTTGAATATATCTCAAACCGTATTAATTTGCTTTGAATTTTCAAATAGAATCCAAATCATATTACTATACGGTTTGCTGGATTTTCAAAATAAATATTTTGGGCCTAGCATTAAGGGCTTGAGTTTCACTTGTTTTTGGGCCTAATTTTTTAACAATATATTATTTTTATTTAAAAAAGGAAAAATTGTTACCATTAATCACAACTTTGCCTCGTCCACCAATATTAATCTCAACTTTCGTTTATTCACTATCACTCCCAACTTTGTACCTCATTCATTTCTATCACACCCAACCGGTCATCCAACCTAATATCACAAGATACAAGACTCGTGTTAGCTTATAATTGGCTTATTTTTTTTATAAAAAAAGACCCTAAAAACCACCCATGCCCAGCAATTTCCACCACGGCCAGCCCAACTGTGTCGGGTGATTTTTGGATTTCCCGGACACTGGTCACGTTCTTCAGGCAATGAGACTCGGACACCTGTAAAATGAACTAATATTCCTTTACCGAAATATTCGCCTCCGACGATCAAGTCAGTGATCGGAAACGGAAAGGCTAGAGAGAGAAAGTAGAGAGAAGTTGGAGCTGTTTAGTGCTCTTTTTAATATGATGTCACAATCCACCCTTCCCATCATAAATGATTGGGGTATTTATAGGGGTGGGAGTTTGCACCTCCTTAGGGTTTGTACCCTAAATTTGCATGACCTGATTGGCTGCGCAATCAGGTGGTGCCACGTGCAAGATGGGGGCGTCGCTTTGCGGCTTTGTAGACACCTAAAAATGTCACCCCAAAACCAAACCCGATGATGAACAACCTTTCACCTCCACTATTGGTCGAGTTCAGTATTTAATCCCGAGAGTGCTTGAAAAAATCGTATTTAATTAATTTTTGAATAGTCCATGGATCAGTCTTGATGTTTAGTCAAAGCATAGTTTTTTTAATTTCAGCCCAAACCTTTTTTATTTTATTGTTTTATTATTTATTTTGGCCCAAACCCTTTTATTTATTTTATTTACTTATTTTCT